CCGCTATCCTACCGACGTTGTACTGCTGTTGCACTGCGGTTTAGTCCACCACTTGCCTCACCACTTGACCACTTGCCCACTTACCTACCTTCTAGAAGGTCTACAGCTAAGCTTCCGGAACCCACTAAGACTTCTACGGTATAGACCTACAGATCGAACCCCTGCTGCCTATGGACCTACGACAGACCTACCAACTGTCTGCGAACCCTGGGTACTGCATCCACTACTGCTAAAAGGTGAAAACCGTTTCAGAAGTATGTTCCGGGCATTTCTGCTGTCGTCACCCGGAACTAGTCTTTGTGTGTGTCTTTTCTCCGGTCGACGAACCCATGATTACTAGCCCGGAAACTTCTTGAAAAATCGGCCATGTTGACTGAGCCAGCGGAGCCATCAGGGTGCCGACTTCTCATACCTCCCGGCCCATGACCTTCCTCGTATTGCGTGGAAAGGACACGTGTCTGCGAGTGCGATGTATGAGAAGCTGTCACCAAGATCGGCGATCCTTATCACGGAGCTCTGGATTTGTTAACTCGGGATTTGTGATCGTTGATACCCATTTCCTCCCTACTCTGTGTTGCTTCCCTTCGTTGACCATCGTCCCCTGGCCGACAGTTGATCTACTGGCCTCGCATCCTGTGCAGCGATTGTTGCTGCATGGAGCGATTCCAAGCCCAAGTGTTCAACTATCGGACACGTGGTGAGGACTCTGAGGAGTTCAAAGAGTAAGCGATTAGATTACGACCCTCTGACTTGGATTCCGAGCTCTGCGAGGAGAGTTTTCGGTCCCTCGTTTGAAACCGAGATCCAACGTGCGTTCCCTCTCCTTTTCGGCCAGGGAAAAGATGGCCCGCCAAGCACGACAAAGTTCAAAGGTACTTTTTGGATTAGGTAGTCATTGAGAAAGGGCTTCCTTCGCCTTTTCCTCACTTTTGTTCGTCGCTCCATATCTGGGACCACATGGGAGATTTCAGTTCCGTCTGTGTCTCCAGACTCAATTTTCCAAAAATCTTTGGCACACCCCATTTTGCCGCTTTCCAGGCCTCCTTTTCCACGCTTTAGTCACTCCGACGAGGAAAGCTGCGCAGAGCGTGAGGTTATATGTGTCACAGGCCACTGTAAAGGAGTAAATCCTGATAAGCTGCTGGGGAGTGAGCCTGCTTGACAAGGGATGGTTTAACCGTTCACTAACAGCCACTGATATAATGGTCGTGTCAAGAAGCGTATAGGAAGTAGCGTCCATGAAAATGGATTCGTAGTAATTTCGTACTGTTCGTACTTGTGAAATGGCTTGTCCTTCACCAGCTGACTAACAGTCTTTCCGCCTTACACCATTTCTTCATGATACTTTTAATAAGAACCACTCAGGGCATCCTCATCATACGAGGACTGTGGTGGATGCATGTAACTGCGAAAATGACCAGATTCATGCTGTATATATGTCAATGAATCCAATTGGCTGTCGGGCATTCATCTTCTGCTAATGTGTTGGTGACACTCACGTTCTTCTTTTCCTTTTTGTGTTTGTCTTTGTGTTGCATCGTGTGCTTGTGTGGGTATGGGTGCGGGTGCGGGTGTGGGTTTGGGCCCATTGCTGTTTTGCAGATCCTTCCGTCTGACTTGATAGCGTTCTTGGATGCTCCTGTCCCGTTCGTGGTGAGTGCCTTTCGTGAACTGGTTTGGACTGGTGTAAGCTGTTTCTGGGGTGCCGATTGCGCTCCCTGCTTCACCAAGAGGACTGCGATCTGTCGTGTTTGCAGACTCAACTCACTGCATATTCAGCAGTTCTTTTACTAAATTTGGCAGCTTGTAGGCTGCGTTTATACACCCAACGGGCCAACTCCCATTCGTTTGTCAATTTCGCACTTACAGAGATCATCTCTCTCTCTCTCTCTCTCTCTCTCTCTCTCTCTCTCTCTCTCTCTCTCTCTCTCTCTCTCTCTCTCTCTCTCTCTCTCTC